CAAGTGAAAGCAAAGAGCAGCTTTTCACTTCAACATCAGCATGATACAAACCCTAGATATCGTTGGAAAGAAATTCCATTTTATTTACAGCATTGGAAAATCTTTCAGATTCCCTGGAAGACCTCTACCCTCAAACAAAACGAAGGAATGGCTGGAGAGCTCCTCCCCATGTCTCTGAATAACCAACTCAAATGCTACCAGCTTCGGTATGTTATCTCCCCTCCGTCAGTTCCATCAGAAGTCATGCTAATGGAAAACACGTCATTTGAAAACAGCAAAAACAAATCCATCTCCCTGTGTTTTATCTGAATGTTGCTATATATAAAGCCAATGTCTGAAAACATTCCACATATTTTTATTTATTGGCATGAGGCCACTCAGCAGCACAAGCATACTGTTGAAAGTATGAAATTTCTGTGTTAATAAAAAAAAAAACCCAACAATTCCAGCATCATTCCTTGGTGAACACTGTTGCAGAGCTCCCTCCTATGCACAGTGCTGTCACTTATGCACGAACCCACGATGTCTCTGAGCACCATACAGATGCACTTTTCTCTGCCTTATATACACACAAACAGCACTGTCCTCTAATACACACTCTGACAGTTTGTTACCTGATGCCAGAAAAAAAAAAGAGTTGCATGGCAGAATTAACACCACTGCATTCCTCCAGGTTAAGACTTGAGTTTCACAAGGAACCGTGAGCCTTAGCTGCTTGCCTGCAGCCGCCCCATCACCATCAGCACACTGCTGCAGCCTGCTGCCACGTGCTAACACTGATGTACGTCAGCATCCTGAAAAATTTTCCGGCTCTGGCTATAAAACAGCCAGAGCTCCTCCAAGCCCTGCTCCAACCTCGAGCAGCGCAAAGGCAGGGATGAGCTGCATCACCCACCAGGCATCTCGCTGCTCTGTGGAGCTCACGCTGCCCCAGATGCCTCCAGCACCGCCAAAGCACACGTCCTGCCCCCTCTTCGATCGTTTAGCTCCAGCCCTTGACCAGAAGGCAAATGGAAAAGCTTTTGGTAACTTCCAGCTGATCTTGGCTGGGAATCAGTGACTCAGAAAGGAAAATATTCCCTGCCGGTGGCTTCACAATCAAAGGTCAGGCCGAGCTCACGCTGGAACCTGCAGAGAGCCTTTCCACAGTCTCACCGGCAACAGCCTGGGCGCCGGGCTCCTTGTTCCATCCTTGTTTTTATTTCAGAAGGCAGATTGGAAGGCTACAAGCACTGCTGCACATCTGGTGAGGCACGCCTCCATGGAAAATCTGCTTCACCAAAGGTGAGCGGCCGTGCTGGAGCCGAGCTCCTGTCCATCCCTCCAGCCAGCCCGCTGCAGCCCCGGCTCCCATCCTGCTCCGCTTTCAGATGTCAAGTTGCAGCAATTTACAAAGCTGCACTGTAGTTGTGAAAGACAGTTTTCTGTATTTCCATATGGTGTGAAGTCTTCAGAAGGCTCAGCTAATTTTCCCTAAACAAGTCAGACTTTTCTCATTCCTCCCTGTGCGCGACGATCCCGCTCCCTCAATACGTCGAGCTGCAGCTACGTCCCATTACAGCCTTTCCTTCCACAAACATCATTTTGCTCTCAGCCTGCTCCTCCAGACTGCATCATCTTCCGGAATGTGCCCCCTTTTACATGAAGACCATTTTTTCCCAAACGTCAGTTCTACTCAAATGTGAGCAGCTGACGAGTGCCTGTGACAGCAGGGACGGATGGGGGGACAGGGGACGGTGGCCACCCGCCTGCTCCTGCTCTAGATCAGATGATTAAAGCCTGCTGGAATAAAACCAAGTTCTGGAAAATACCAGAACTTCAGATTAAGTTATCTACTGGAATAGAAATGCAGAAAAACATGCCAGCGTTTCTCAAGCCAAATTTAATTGACTTAAAAAGAATTTAAGATGTTTCTTATAGTACTGCTTTGGCTGGGACGGAGAGGGAGAGATACCACCCCACTCCCTTAGCCTTCTCTTGAATCAGAAGTTTCTCTGCTCATACCAACAACATGGTATTCAAAAGAAAGAAAACAAACACAAACCACAATTGCAGCTGTATTAGCTGAGAGTTTAACACATTAAACAAAGAAGTGCTTTAAAATCTCAGCTCTGCTTGCTGCAACTCGAAAACGCTAAACACAAACTCTAACTCCTTTGGGTATAAGAACTGCTAAAGAAATGCATCAAAACCATTCTTATCCTCACCTCTACACCCTGTGTGTGACACTCTTTGGAGCAGACGCCCAGCCGGCGTGTTCCCTGTTGAAAAAACTGTTCAACATCTACAAGTGGAAGAGTGCAAAGGGATTTGATCCAAACGTCTTGCCAAACGGGAGACCCAGTGCCGTATTTGCTCTGTGTATGCAGCTGCACCCAGAGGCTGCCCCACCACACCAAAATACAGTCCCTACATTGTAGGTGTAGGCATGACGTTTCAGAAACAGGCACCAGACAGGGTAAAGCACAGAAAGCCCTGCCTTTGCACTTGTTGGTTAAAATGCTGGATGCTAGGCAGCAACGAGAAAAGCCAAATTAATAAATTCTAAGTAGCATCACCAAGATATGCAAAACACAGGAAGGTGCAGAACTCTCCTCTCATTGCGGAAATAGTCTGCAACAAAGCAATTTCAGAATTCAACAGCATGAATAACAAAGGTCCTGACCATTTCCAAGGAAACCAATGTCAGAGTGAAAGTCAAAGAACTGCCATTTTGTTTGATACGACTGTAAGGTTTGAACTTTTATGTTTGTATTTTAATTTTTTGATCTGTCTCAGTACATTCTGAGGTTGTTCTGACATTGAAAGTTCTAGTTAATCTGCAGGAGCCACTATTTTTTTTTTTGAAAGCATGCAAGCTTGCAAGGTATGCAATTACCTTGCAGGAGCTGCTGAAAGGTTGCTTTCTGCACCAAAAGAACCCCAATATCTGGAGGGAGCTGAAAACATCTTAGAGCTAAAAGTGATGTCGCAGTAAGGCACACTGCAAGTCCACTCTAGTTGCCAGTGTTAACATGCAATCTTAACAGAAATCAGGCAAGCTCAGGCTCTCCTGCAGCCCTCAGGCAGGCTACACGTCTGCCTGGAGAGGAAATTGGGAATATAAATTTATTAATGAGAGCGATAGACACCTTCACTGCAGTGCTGTAAACTACTCAGGCTACAAAACAATATTTTCAGTTGAAGAAACTCATAACTACATCATTCAGTCTGAATTATTCCTGCATACTGAACCGTTTGCTTTGGAGACAAGAGACTAATGAAATTCTTAATCTCATCAGTGACAACATAAACCAATCATCTAATTCTGAGTGTCAGGGATTTGCTGTTTCCTTCTCACAGTTAATCTAAAGACTCAGCGTTGGGAGTGAACAGAAAAGATCAGGAACTGCATCCCTGTCTTGTGTTTCTGTTAAGAACACAATGGATCAGAACCGCTCTGCAACGATGCTTTAGATCCATCATCTTCACATGCACCAGCATTTAGGTCCCAATGACCTTAGGAGTGCTGTGCACCCCAAGTCAGCAGCATCAACAGCAAAGAGGAGGATAAAAGCAGTGGGAAGCTCTCTTGACTCAATTTAGAGTCAGTCCTCCCCTTGCATGCTTGGAGCAGAGCAGTATGTATGCATGATTTTCTAAAAGCACATGAATTTCTCCATAAAAAACCTCTCCATCTTCATTCAGAGCCGCTTCTATACCATATTTCACATTTCAAACCCTTATGCTCAGATTTTTATTTCTTTCCTTTAATATTCTCTCCCCTCCCATGTTGCTTTTCATGAGCCATAAAGCAGCGGAACAGATCTGAGTTCAGAGTTCAAATATGTGGTTGTAAGTTTAATTTCTCCAGACAAACTAACAAATTCCCAGCACTTACAGCCACTGCACCAAGTGCAGTTGTCAGCCTCTGAAACTCAGTAACCAAAAAACTGTGAATCTAGCATCCAAATGCTGACTGACGAACACAAACACAAGAAGTTTGCTCTCACAAAAAACCTACATTCCTAATTGCTCACTGGTTGGTCTGGTGTTTGTTTTCTTTGTGAGATACTGTGGGATTGATTTATTTTATTATAACATGCCATTTCATTTTAAAAGAAATTCTGGGCAAGATGACACACTTACTACAGGAGATGGCCTCACAGGTCATCATCCTTTATTGTACAGGATTGCTTCATTTCTGTTTTAAGTTTTTATCCAACCAGCCCTACAGACTAGAGGAAGGTCTTCATTACTTCATGGTCTAGATATACCATGAGAACTGGCTTCTTAAATCTTGATCTTGATTTTCTTCTAATGCAGACTTTTACCCAAATCAGTTTACACATAGGCACACATGTACACAACAATTACACACGCACCCACACACATCTGTGCATACAAACATATGCATGTACATCAGTGCATATACACACGCACCTGCCCACACCTCTGTCCCAAAGACAGCAGACTGCAGGCAGGACCCACTAAGGACAAAGGCATTTGCTGTTAGTCAGTCTACTTTCAAACAGCCTCTATTCTCGCAAAGGCAGGCTAATAACGGTGCTTGAAAAGTCTGTAAATAATACAACATTAACTTTTAATCCTATCTTCCCCGCTCTGACATATACTTTATATTAAAATGAAAGTTATATAAGGTTGAATTGAGGTTGCTTTTTAATATTACATTAACACTATTTACCATGTGCCATGCTAATCCCCCTTTGAAAAGGGAGCCTATTAGCAATTCTGAAAGCTTATGTTACCATAGCAATAGTCTATCACTGTGAAATATTTATATAATGTCTAACATTTTCACTATGCAACAGCCATCTTCTGAGCTGCACTTCCTACTTACCCAGTGTGTAAAAAGATTTCCTTTTTGTCCTGCATGACGGAGCCAGGTAAAGCGCCCGGCCTGAGAGCTGAACTGGGAAAGCCTTGTGGCGTGCCGAGCCCAGAATGTCATCTCCATCCCCAACCAGCAGCCCCCCGCAGCAGGGCCGCCTGCCGCTTACCTTGATGTGCTCATGCAGCTGGGCCTCGTGCTGCCTGGAGAGCTGCTCGTGCTGCCGCTGGAACTCGGCAATGAGGATCTGCCTCTGGATCTGCTGCTTCTGCTTCAGCGCCAGGAGCTCCTGCTGCAGCTGCTGCTCACGGAGCGTCGGCTCTGTCACGGGCATGGGGAACTGGTGGTCCAGGCGCAGATCCATTGGGACTGAGGTTGGGGCAACTTGCAAGGGCAGTGCTGTGCTCACGTCAACTGCAGATGGAGAACACACGGGAGAGATGAGCGGTAAGAAAGCACTATGGGAGACAGAGCTCAAGCAGTTGTTCTCCAGCCACCATCTCCTATGAATACGTGCATCTTCTCAGAGCAAAAACTTCAGTGAACTGCATGTGACCCTACCTGTTATCACTCCAAGCCTGTGTATTCAAGCACACGTCCCTGTTGCACTCTTCTAGCATCACTTGAGATTAGATGGATAAATATTACTCTGGGACTTCACAGCAAAGATCCATCTTGTCTTACAGCTGATCAATTCATACACTCTTACGGTCAGGAACATGAAGCTCTCAATAAAAATTACCCAGAAAAATCACTACACACTGTATCCTTCATAATATTTTTCTGAAAGGAGCTTGAACAAAAGCAAATGGGTAATGAAGGGCTCCTGTGACAGTCTAGAGTTCGCTGCTGCAACAACCAGAGAGGTGTAAATGTTTGGGCACGGGGAAGTGCTCCAGCGTGCCTCTAACTCAGACTCTGAGGAGACAATGCTGAAACACAACCAAGAGAAGGGCAAAGGACAGCAGATTTCCCTACAAATTAAGCTCTTATTTCATTTTAAGCCTGACCAGGTAGTACTCCAGCCACCTTCCCAGGGAGGTGAGACAAGCACACAGAGCGAGCAGCCCACATCCTTCCATCCACTGCACTCTCTGGGGCACCTGGACCCAGCTACACAGTGCCCAACACAAACAAGGATGCTTGCTTTGCTGTCAGCACCCTTGCCATGCAAAACCACAGCACGCAGCCAGATTTGGGCTGGGAGGAGCACGAGGTGCCCGCAATGAGACCCGCAGACACCTACCTGCACTTTGCCCAGGGAAAGAAGCTCAGCTCATGCAGGGAGGAGGAGGCTGTTCTTGGGTGGAAATATTTTCTGTAAAAGGTCACGTTGCTGGAAGTGCTGCCGTTATTCAGCCCATGAGTTCTTCCCCTGTGTTTTCCTTCCTGCATCCCTCTCTCCAGGGCTCTCACCTGCAGGGCAGGCTGGCAGCACAGAGTGTGGGGCAGTGCCTGGTGTGGCTCTCAAAAACCCCACCGAATCACCTGAATCTAAGCATTATGGCTCTCACACTCTCACACTAACGTGAGGACCGAATGTTGTGACAGATGCTGAGTGGCTGCTCTTGGAACAGCAGCAACTTCGTTTGGCAGTAAATATTGGGGACTTCGTGCTTCAGCCCCATTTTCTGCAAGTGTAGCAGCTTCACAGCAAGGTTCAGACTCATCTCTAAAAGAAGATGGAACTGAATTAAACAACTCAGCAGGGCTTTACTCTACTTCAGCCCACCAAATCATAGGATCACAGGATGGCCTGGGTTGTAATGGACCACAATGCTCATCCAGCTCCAACCCCCTGCTGTGTGCAGGTCACCAACCAGCAAACCAGGCTGCCCAGAGCCACATCCAGCCTGGCCTTGAATGCCTCCAGGGATGGGGCATCCACAGCCTCCTTGGGCAACCTATTCCAGTGCCTCACCACCCTCTGGGTGAAAAACTTCCTCCTAATATCCAACCTAAACCTCCCCTGTCTCAGTTTAAAACCATTCCCCCTTGTCCTATCACCACCCACCCTCACACACAGCCTTTCCCCCTCCTGTTTATTCGCTCCCTTCAAATACTGGAAGGCCACAATGAGGTCTCCCTGCAGCCTTCTCTTCTCCAAGCTAAACAAGCCCAGTTCCCTCAACCCTTCTCCATAGGAGAGCTGCTCCAGCCCTCTGACCATCTCAGTGCTCTCCTCTGGACCCACTCCAAGTCCTACCTGTGCTGGTGGCCCCAAGCCTGGAGATGGGGCCTCACAAGAGCTGAGTAGAGGGGGACAATCACCTCCCTGTCCCTGCTGGCCACCCCTTTTTTAATGCAGCCCAATCAAACCCCAAGTGATCAGAAAGCAAACCCTGATGTAACAAACACATGAACCCACAGCTTCTCCCAGCCTGCCTTCTTCCCTGTCCAAAGGCACACACTGTCTTTTTCCAGAGCTCCTGGACACACCAGAGTATGGTTTGGTGTAACTCCGTAGTCCCAGCGCTGGAGAAGAGCTCCAAGAACTTAATGCGGGAGGATCAAACCCACCGATCAGGACAGCAAACCAGGCACTCGCTACCTAGGAGCACGGGAGCTGGGAGCTCAAACTGTGCCAGTGACAAATTGCCCCGCTCTGCTCCACAACAAGGGCCCGAACCCGCAGAGAAAGGCAGCCGATCTCCCGGGAAGACCCAACAAACGCTCCGTTTCCCGGAGCTGGGGACAGCAGCACGCAAGCCTCCCCAGCGCCTGGCACTGCGCACAGCTGGGGCGCCGTGGCCACAGCTCCCATTCATCGCCCCGCAGAGCTGCGTCATCCTGGCCTCTTGCTATTTCGGTCTCAAGAAACTCTTGGAAACGCCAATGAGTTCCCAACAGAAGCTGCGAGCGCTTCTGACCTGCGGGGCCCTCCCGAAAACAATAAAACCTTCTCTAGTTAATGAACGCATCATCAAAACAAAAAAAGCCTGTATTCTTATGAATTTTTTATGGTAGACTAGAAAATTGCTTTTATAGGTTCTGCCTTGAGAACATATTAATACAATCAGATTCATGACGTTAGCAAAAGCACAAAGACTATATTCAGAGTTTTAATGAGAAATGCCAAACCCATGAATTACAAGACAAGATCTCAATTATGAATAATAAACTATCTCATGTTACCCTGCCTCTTCCTTCACTGTAAGAACACAACGCAAAAAACAGGAGGAATTATCAGCATTATTATTATTTAACCTAGGCGTGCAAAGATTTTTTCCACAGTCCGGTTACCATTATTTTTACACCAAGTTGGAAACACTCTGATGCTTTTCCCTCCCCGCATAAATAAAACATGGCTATACATCAAAGGCCGCCTGCGTGCCGCACGTTAATTAAGACCTAAAGCATTCCAGCCCTCATCGATTGCAGGCACAGAGCAGCCTCGTGGCTGGGACTGTAAATTTGGCATCTCCCAGCTCTGCCCACACCATCTATCAGATCAACAGAGGACGGAATCTATCAGTTAAATGTATTTGCTGTAACAGACCGATCAGCACAGTTTGCAAAGCAAGGGTCCATTTCCTACAGAAAATGTCTGGCATTAAAATCATTTCACATCAAGGCTGCATATAAATACATTATCAGAGAGTCATACGTTGGGCTTGTCTGCAACAGAAAAATCACCTCTCTGCAAGCATCGGGCAGTTTGGAAGGGATTAGAAGAGGGAGATGCTATTTAGATATGTGCATGCATTATTTAAATAAGAACTGCAGTAATAACTGTGTTTTCTCCCTCTTCTCCAAAACGGCATTTTCTTGGAAGTCCTTAAAGGACTGACAAAATAGAAGGATTCAGTCCTGAAAGCACGCTGAGATGTACGATAAAAGAAGATTTCAGTATGAGAAGGACATGGGATATCTGAAACATTTAAATTCAAACCTTGTTTCAGTGTAACCTTTACTGAAGCTGAACTTTAAGAACATTTTCAAAACTACTTCTTTAAAAACCAAAAGCTGTCGCCAGAAGGACTCTTTTCATTTCAATTTAAGCAGCACAGAAAGCTGCCTCCCCTCTATTTCAAACCAGCATCAGCTTCAAATAGAAAGTGCACGGAACGTGCTCCCCGAGACCCCCCTCCCTCCAGCTCAGAAGTCCCCAGATCCACTGCTGGAGCTGCAAGAGGACAGAAAGTGACAAAGAGGAAGGGAATCACAGACATACCACCACATGCCTGTGACAGCATGAGCTTAGCAACCCAGGCACACCAAACCCTGCTGGGCGAGCAATTGGGCTCCCACAGAAACCCACAGCTCCGTGGGGCTGTGACTGGACATCCCTGGCCAGCACTTTCCAGACACCACTGACTCAGCTTCTCCCCCGTGCTTTATTTCCAACTAATGAGTTTGCTTTCTAATTACTGGTGTGCCAGTGTTGCCCTCTGGCCGGATTTTGCCAATAGCAGAGCAGCAGCCACTCAGCAACAGCCAACAAAAAACTGCAAAAGCCAGAGTCTGTGCTGTGCAGCCTGATGGCCGGGGACGTGCGTGCACAGACCTCAACCCAAGCTTGATTTTCAGCTGCTTGCATGCAGGTTCCAAAACCACGTTGTTCAATTTGCAGGGGAAGAAAGCACGCCACCAGGCTCAAGGCAGCGGCCCCAGGCAGGCGGCTGTGACCGTCACCCTGCGATGGGGACACAGCTCTGCTTGCACAGCTCGGCTTCCCAAAATGTCACAACTTGCCGAAACACGGAGAGACAGTGAGATCAGGGCTATTAATAGCAACAAGCTGCTGCAGTATCTGCCTGCAGTGCCAGGATGAAAGCAGCACGCATGGTGCTGTGCACACCGTAAGGAAACGGCTGAGAGCACTGTGCAGCGCTGTTAGAACGCCTGGAAGACAGAGCTGCTCTGAGCCGACAGCACGCTGATTACTACAGAATGCCTCAAAGATAAGCAGTATTTCTCCAGAAGAGAACAGTGAAAAAAAAGGCCACGCATCACCAAATGCGTTTGGGCCACTCTCTAGGCTCAATCTCAGCCCGATCCCTGAGCTCGGCCATGGCACACTGCAAGCATCCGAGGGAGCTGCAGGCCGCCATGATTCCTCCTCCCCTCAGCCTCCTCTGCTCCACACTGAACAAACCAAGGGACCTCAGCCGCTCCTCACGCACCCTGCCCTCAGACCCTTCCCCATCTTTGCAGCCCTCCTTTGGACCTTCTCATACTGTGGCAGCCAACCTGTCCCAAGTGCTCGAGGTCACACCAGGCAGGGCAGAGCAACACGATTCCTTTCCTCACCTGGCTGGCAGGGCCGGGCCTGTTCAGAAACAAGAGTTTTAAAGGAAGAAGGTTTTAACCTCTACATAAAACTAAAACAACGTTCCCCTAGTCCAATCAGGAGATGGAGCCATCCGCCAGAAGCAATCAGCTCAGCACACACCGTTATTTTTGCAGAACTGTGTG